CTCTTACTTCACTTCAGTGGTGTCAAAACCTTTTCCCCCATTCTTTGCAGTGCTGGATGTATAACCTAGGGCCTCATGTATGCCAGGCAACTAACTGCTTGACCACTGAACTACATTCCAGATTCTTCAGTGGGGTTTGAACATGAGGTACTAGAATGCCTGTTGGCTAGTGAGGCTATGGAGAAGTTCTGCAGATGGGCATGAGAGAATAAGATTTGTGGTTTTCTTTGCATCTTGGATAAGACCTGTTTAGAGAATCAGCCAATATCTGCATCTGGATGAAGCTCTAGCCCCTGGTGTATGAGGCTCCTGAAGCACATTCCTAGGGGAGAATGGAGAGAGCAGCTGGGTGGGCATATGGGCTTCCCTTGGTCAGTGGCTCCTTAACCAGCTCCCAGCTACCTTTTTGCTGCCCCCTACTACTATGGCTTCTACAACAATCGGCTGCAGGCATACTGCAAGCAGAACCTGGAGATGAATGTGACTGTGCAGAATGTGCTGCAGGTATAGCCCACCTCTCCCTCTGAGGGTAGGGGAGGTGGAACAGTGCCTCAGAGTTATTGCCATTGCAGATCCTGGAGGCCGCTGACAAGACACAGGCATTGGACATGAAGCGGCACTGCCTCCATATCATTGTGCACCAGTTCACCAAGGTCAGGGCCTGTCTTGATCCAGAGCTCATGAATTCAGCCCTCCTCATCAGTACTTCATGGAGGTGGGGGGTGCATCTGGGCTGGGCCAAGCAAACTATACCCATTGGCCACTTGGTTGGTCCTCAGACTCAGCCCAAGCCCAGAGAAGGTTGGGCCCCAAAGAACTCAGCCACCCACCTTGGCCCTTTTAGGAATCTGGTTCTGTCTCATTTTGGCATTTTGGTCATCTGTACAGGTCTCCAAGTTACCCACACTGCGGTCACTGAGCCAGCAGTTGCTGCTGGACATCATAGACTCTCTGGCCTCACACATCTCTGACAAGCAGTGTGCAGAGCTGGGTGCTGACATTTGAGAGCACCATTGGTATCAAACCAGCATGGAAAATGATGCCAGATTGGTTGGCCCACTGCAAAGATTGCTCTGGCCATTCCTGTGTCTGCAGTGTAGCTGTTCCTGTGGAGTCAAGGATCAGGGTGCTCAGAGCCTCCAAATGGAGCTCAGCAGGTGCAGGGGACCCCAAAAACCTCATTTCATTGATGTGGACAAAGGACCCACAGGGTTGGAATAGTGAAATAGATCCCCTTTTAAGCTGTTACCTTTTCCTGGGTGGGAGGCCATGATTGAAGTGACTGGGACACTACAGGAGACAGGGCACCTGGGCATCAACCAGTAATGGGGAGACTAGAAGGTTAACTTCAGAGTTGGGCATGGGCTTTGGAACACTCAGCCTGGCCCCTGTGGTCTTATGGATTCAAGAGTAGTTTCCTGTTGTAAGGGCCACTCTGACATGGTAAAGGGGGCTTGGAAGAATTACTGTGGCATAAGGGAGTTCCCCTGCACACTGCCCCACAACTCTCAAGAGAAGTCCATGTAAAGAGTACCTCTGCCCACCAGGACTTGGGAATACAGACCAGTGACAGGAGGTCTGCTCTTGACTCTGGAGACTAATTTTGGAGTGAAGAACCCGAGGTCAGTTTCCAGCGCAGCATAGTCATGCTGGGCTAGGAGTGGCTTCCACAAGGGCTGCAGATTCCCAACTCATCTCTGTGTAGGGGCAAAGCAGAAGTCAGCAGAGATGCCCCCAAGTATTTAATCTGTCATGGACATGCTTCCATTAAAGTCAAAGCAGTGCTACCTACACACACTGTTATTGTCTCCATCACTGACCTGCGGTTCTCAACCTCTGTGCCCTCCCACAGTGCAGCACAGGCTGTGCAGCAGCCTGATGGTTTGGTTGACCCCYAGACACAGGTTCAGCCAGCCTTGCCTTTCTATCTATATATGCCCTCCTACCACCTGGTGTCACCCAGTCAAGAGAGAGAAAAAGTATAGGAGGTGTCCAGGCTGGCCCCTCCCCAAGAGCCCTGCAGTAGGGTTTTTTATAATCCCGCACGTCTCTGTTGGGTCCCAGGGAAGGCTACCCTCTTGCCTGGGCAGGGAACTGAGGAAGGATAAGAAAATCATCCTATTATCCAAATAGAACCCGTATCAATCCATTCTGATGGAGGAGGCTCAGTTGTGCTTTTCCGGGAACCAGAATGCAGGACCTGCATTGTCCTATCAGGAAGCCAGAATGTACCTTGGGAAACATCTGTTCTCTTTCTGACACATTTCCCTCCTCTGGTTGAGCTCCACCCAGACATGGTCCTGCCATGGGCCCCAAGTGGCTGCAAATAGGTGGAGGTAGGGTATCCTTGCAAGATAAGCAGGGAAGTGAAGGAGGTGTGGGGCAGAAGCTGAAGCAGGTGGCTAGCTGAGTGACAGTCCCTATGAAGGAGCAGCAGGCTCGAATTGAGGAGACAAGGGGCAGCCTGGGTTGGGCAGTAAGACATGCCAGGTATAAATGACTCAGTGTACCAGAGTCACCTGCCAAGTTTCCACCAGTTGTAGTCTTATCATACCCCCAGGGCAGCCTTGCCAACCCTGTCTTAGAGAGACAGGCCTGGAAGCCTCACGAACAATAATCTGTAAACCCTGCTCTATGGAGACCCTTGTAACTGGACCCTTGAGTATCACTTCTAGGCAAGATATGAATAAATTAAATTAAAGCAAATATGAGAACATTGTTATGACTAGAAAGTCAGGTGTGCTCCTTGTGCTACAAGGCCAAGGGGACTAACAGGGAGAGACCATGCTGGTATTAAGAATCAGCCTATGGGGCTGGGGATGTGGCTCAAGCGGTAGCGCGCTCGCCTGGCATGCGTGCGACCCGGGTTCGATCCTCAGCACCATATACCAACAAAGATGTTGTGTCCGCCGAGAACTAAAAAATAAATATTAAAAATTCTCTCTCTCTCCTCTCTCACTCTCTCTTTAAAAAAAAAAAAAAAGAATCWGCCTATGCATTTTGCTCTTTGCCACTTCACAAAGTGAAGACTTTCAGGTTCTCATTTGCTGAAGAAAAATGACACTGAGGCCAGGATCTGCATATCTACCTCCAGGATCTAATTTTTTTTTTCTTGCTAGGCCTCATTACTAGCCAAGCAGAGCAGCCACAAGTCAGTGATAGTCATCATCATTCCCTTTTTTTTCTGATGGAGACCAACCATATATTAAGCAGTGCAGGGGATAGCCTTCTGACCTGCCAGGCAGGTGAAAAGAAGCTTACTGTGCCTTAGTATATTATGAATGTTCTTAAAGGGGCTGGCTTGCTTCAATCAAGATTGTTTCAAGACCCAAGTTAAAGACTGCTTGGCACTGTGCAGTGGTCCATACAGATACTGTTCTGTCCTTCAGAGAACCCTATGGGGCAATGAGTTGTATAAACAGGAGTCTCTAACAACTGTTCACCTCTGAAACACTGAAAGGGGTAGTTAGGATCTAGAGTTGTGGCAGAGTGCTTGCCTAGCATGTATAAGAACTGGGTTCAATCCTGAGCACCACATAAACAAATTACCAGCTAGCGAGGCTGGCGACCTGAGCTGGGTTCACAAGATCTGGCTGCACCAGCAACTTATGGTGAAAGAAGCACTCAACACACAGAAATACATTTTGCCTGCAGGACTCAGGGACAGCTGTCGACCTTAAGGGTCTGTTGGAAAGAGAGAACTTGCACCTAGATTCTTTATTTTAATGGCATGGGGGGGGGCACACAGAAGGAAGTTCCATGGAATGTTCTTTCCAAATAGGGCAAGGGGCGGGTTTCAGAGGTTTGAGTCTAGCTTCCTGATGTCTTGTGGTCAGCAGATTGACATCTTGGCTAGTCACAGGCACAGAGAGAGGAAAGTGCATATGTGTGTTGCACAGCCCAAAGAGCATATAACACCAGGCCAGTCTTCCCATCCACTCGAATGCTCATAGCTCACACAGTCCATGGCTCGCTTGCAACAATGAATAAATTAAAATAAAGGCATTGTGTCCATCTGCAACTAAAAAAAAAAATCTTAAAAATTAGGAACCAGGATCTCAGCTCCCCACAGCCAATCATTTTGGGTCTCTCTGGGGACTGCCAACACTGTCTGGTGGGAACAAGGTTCGAACCCTGAAGTGAGCCAGATAGCAATACAGCCTTCTAGAATCTACTTATATATGGTATCTGGTGGATCACATAGGTCCAATTCTGATCTTGTGCTTGGTAGACAGATAAATAAGGATGGAAGAAACTTCAGCCTTGATGGGTGGATCCTCCTTCAGATCATGCTGCTACTACTCATCTGCACAGCAAAGTTCTACACATGCTCCTTCAGAGTCTGGCGGATATCTGCCTGTGCCAGCTTCTGATGCAGGTTTGTCAACTGCAGCGCTGCTTCTCTGCCTGGAAGCCTGGAGCTGGCACTGGACCTTCTACAGAATATTGCCCACCTGGCAACTGGTCATTTAGAACATAGGCTCTGATGGAGGTATGGCAAGAAAGTTGAAGGGGAGATAGGCTAAGGCTTGAGAGAGGGATGCTACTGTTCTGGTAAGGGCTGGGCATCTAGAGAGCCTGGAAAATCTGGGAAGAGGCTCTCAGATCCTGTGAAAGGCAAAGTGGCAGGTTCTGAGGCTTTTTTTTACAGGAAAGCAGGTGACATCAGCAGGAGGAGGTAGAGAATGGAGCTGCGGACCCCTTCAAAGCAGCTGGAGAGAAGAGAAAAAGAGACCAACAGACCACATTTCACAGCACTGACCTAATACATAAACCCAATCAGAAAGTTAGTATAATAAAAACCACATCCGGGTAGATAATATAAAGCCCTCTTTGTGTCTTGAGATGGGAGTAAGTGAAGGGAATCTCTGACCCACAGAATATACTGTTTCGGATATATATACACACACATACACACACACACACACACACACACACATACACATACATACACATTTAACCATTGAACAACATGCCCAGGCATTTTTTTTTTAATTCTCTAAGATACTTGGGGCTCATTTTATTCTCACCAACAATTCAAGAATATTCTATTTTACACTGAATGCATTTTTATTTTATAATATAGGGCCTTGTTAAATTGCTGAGAATAGCTTCGAACTTGGACTCCTCCTGCCTTAGCCTAATGAACTGCAGTGATTATAGGCAGGAACTACTGCACCCATCACATACCACTTCTAACATTCTCAAATCAGGTAACTCTGGGGGCTGCTTAGAAAACTGGACCCCTTGGTCTTGGTTGTCCGGCGTAATTTGGAGAAAGACTCAAATATGGTGGGAACTGCCCCTTCCTTCAGCCTGTGATAGCCACTGTGGGGAAAAGCAGCCCTAATGAGCTGAAGAACAAGTGCTGCCACTTGGGCCATCTCTCCCTGGCACCCAACACAGCTTCCCCAGTACTGGGGTTGTGGCAGGCTGGAAGGCACATAATAAACAAGTTTGAGAAAATGCCACGTTAGGCAGAATCCCACCAATCTCTTAAAGCTGAGATGGGCGAAGCAGCTACACCAACAGGGCTGGACAGACCAGCCAAAAAGAATTCTTTTTGTGGGCTTGCTGGGAGGCCTGGGTGAGGAACACTCCCTGGAACAGCTGTTTTTCTCTGGTGTTCCTGGCAAAGTGAAACTGGGAGTGCGCTTTAYTGTACACAAAGGGGAAGGGAAAGCAGCACGTTTGGAACCATGGCTGCCTGTCCACCTGGCAAGCTAACCTCACGGCAGCTGCTCAGGGACTGCCTCTTCAAGACACAGCTGCCCCACTGTATACTATGCTGACACCCCACACCCTGCCCAATGCTGGCTGGCAAGGAAGCCCACCTGATTCCCACCAGCTCAAAGCAGTTCTCCTCGAAATGTTTGGAGCAGAAGTAGATGTACTCAGAGGCAGGGTCCCACAGGCCCTGGCCGCTGGGGTCCAGCCGCTGACAGTTGGCCAGCCACAGGCTACGCCTCGGATTGTCTTTCTTGGGAAGTCTGCAGAACCACAAACCCGTGAGAACCAGGCTGCCAGAGCCCCTGGGCTCATGCTGTTCAAGTTCCCCAGGGAGGAAGAGTAGGCCCTGCACATGCCGCCAGGAGATCTCCCTGTGACCCTGTCGAAGAAGTACCCCCGCTACCTCTGGCACAGACGAGGAAACTGAGCCCTGCGAAAGCAGGCAGCGCGCTCAGCGTCCGCTGGCTGGGAAGAGAAAGCACCAAGTCGAAGCCTGGTAAGCGTCGCGTATTTCTTCGTGGACCGGACTCGGGCTCAAAAGGCCCGCCCCCTTCGCCCGCCCACCCGCAGGTTCAGGCCTCAAGCGGCCTGGAGGAAGGGGAGGGACGGAGGCACGTTCGCGATTCCAGCGGAAAACAACAAGACGCATGCGCAAGCGAGACGTCGCGCACTAACACGCACGCGCGCCGACCTGTGGAAACAGATGCAGCGGTTGCGCGTCTCGCGCGTATCCCGTGTGCAGCAGCCGGCGGCCGAGCAGTGGCGCGGCATCTGGGGAAGAGGCGGGAGCTAGGTCTCTGGCGGCCATCCGGCCCCCGGAGTGGCTTCATGACCCCAGCTGTCACGCCCTCCAGGGAAAAGTGTCTCGTAGGGACCCCAGTAGCCCGATCTCGGACCAAACCTGTTCCAGCCCGTTTTCCTGGAGTTCTGTCAGCGGCAATCACAGTCCCGCTATTGCTGCGTAGCGGAATTCTCGCGAGTAGTGGCGCTTAACGGGCGCGAACGGTGCTAGCGAGCAGGGGTCGGGGGTTGGGGGGGGGGGTGGCGAAAGAGTTTCCCAGCGGGCTGGCGCTGGAAGCAGCGGGCTTTGTCTGGTGTCGCGCCTGCGTCGTCCGGTTAGGACCCTGGGATGCTCGTCCCACCCCTGGGTCTTTCCTTTGTCCAAAGGCCAGCTCTTCGTAAACGCCCCACACGTTTGAAGTGGCTCCCTGGTGCTGGTCCGTGCAGCGTGTCCACGATGCCCCGGGATCCTCATAGGCTCAACATCACCCAAAGGAAGGACTCCCTAACACGCCCGCACGCAGACAAAGGGGTCCAGGACTCTTGCGAAGAAAAACAACCCACCGGAACGCCCTGCTCAAAACTTGACTCATCTTTCTGGGCGAGGGTTTGAGGGAGTGCTTACAGGCTGTGGCTCTTGAGTACACTTTGGGTAATTCTGGAGCTTCTGTTGTCTCCCACAGTGGCATGTGAGCAGTGGAGGAAGGCTAAGGACATATGTGGAAAAGGAAGTTAAGAACTGGGTTGACAAAGCCCTTGGACACACGCTTTAGGTGGAGTCCACTGCACCCCCGAATGATTACTGGGTGAAACCCTTCACGATGTTGGAGGAAACAGACATCAGTGTGTCTGCCAGCCAAGAATGCCACCGAGGACTAAAAAGAATGTTCAGACTGAAGACATTGATAATTCCCTTGGGAAGCCCTTCCGAACCTTTCTGGGAGAAATGCAGTACTTAAGCATACAAACGTGCCTACCAATTTCTTAAAAGAAACAAATGGATATATTTTCTCCTGAGGAATCCACTGGCAAAAGTGGGCCTCTAGACAGGCAGTTTGATTAAAGTACAGCACACAGAACAAATAATGCGTCAATAAACAAATTTTAATAGGTAAATATATCCTGTAAATGTTACAGTGTGCGCGCCCAGGAGAGAGGGTGAAAGGTAGAGTTGCTGCCAATCATACCCTCCCAGTCAGTATTCTTCCCCTTCTTCAGCCTCTGCTTCCACAGAATCCACGCCCACCTCTTCATAATCCTTCTCCAGCGCTGCCAGGTCCTCTCGGGCCTCTGAGAATTCCCCTTCCTCCATGCCTTCGCCCACATACCAGTGCACAAAGGCCCGCTTGGCATACATGAGGTCGAACTTATGGTCCAGGCGGGCCCAGGCCTCAGCAATGGCTGTGGTGTTGCTCAGCATGCACACAGCCCGCTGCACCTTGGCCAGGTCTCCTCCAGGCACCACTGTGGGGGGCTGGTAGTTAATACCCACCTGCCAGGGAAGAGGAACAACACAGAGTGAAACTGAAGTAGGTCTCACATATGATGGCTTATTGAAAACTGGAGCACTAGTCCCAGTTTAAACAATGCCCTGGCCTGGGATTGTATGTAGCTCAGTGGCCCTGGGTTCTAGCCTCAGCACCACATAAAAACAAATAAATACAATAAAGGTTAAATCTTAAAAACAATGCCCTGTAGCAACTGGTACTAGCGTTTTGGCATAAACTGTCAACATTTAACCGTACTGCTTTTAGATTCACCCACAGGACAGCATAAAATAAGATGTTTCAGTTTTTTTTTTTTTTTAAACCTTTTTTTTTTTTTTTTTTTTTAATGTGGTGTTGAGGATTGAACCTAGTGCCAAAAATGTGCCACGCAAGTACTGAATTGCTGAGCTGCAATCCTAGTCTGATGTTTTAGGGATTTTTAAAAATTTTTTAATGAAGGTATTTTATTTATTTATTTTTATATGGCGCTGAGGATTGAATGTGTGATAGGCAAGCGCTCTACTGCTGAACCCAAATACCAGCCCTATGTTTTAGGTTTTTAAGTACAGAGCTGAATCTTTGTTCTAATGGAAAAACTAGAAAGGATCGTCCATTTATAAGCAACCAGTTCAATYGTATTACATCTCTAAAGTAAAACATGAAAAGAATGAGGGCTGAGGTTAGAGCTCAATGGTAGAGCACTTGCCTAGCATGTATGAAGCACTGGGTTTGATCCTTAGAACCCCATTTAAAAAAAAAGCCATTCTGTCCATCTCCCAACAACAAAAAATATTTATTAAAAATGCAATATTACTGGCTGGGGTTGTGGCTCAGGATTGAGCACTCACCTAGCACATGCAAGGCCCTAGGTTCGATCCTCAGCACCATGTAAAAATAAATAAAATAAAGGTATTGTGTTAACTACAACTAAAAAATAATTTAAAAAAAAAAACAATATTACGAGGCTGGGGTCATGGCTCAACCTACCACGTGCAGAGCCCTGGGTTTGATCCTGAGCACCACATATATATCAATAAAATAAAGGTATTGTGTCAAACTATAACTAAAAAATAAATATTTTTAAAAAAACAATATTACTTAAAAAACAAAAGGAAGCAATAAAAATGAATTGAGAACCCAGTTTAGGTATATCAATTGCCTAGGGTTTGATGTATACTCATTAAAGAACACAGTTGAATTCTATGTAGTTAAGTGTGGGGGGGGGTGGGAGAAAGAAACAAACCTATGTGGTTAGCATTAAACTCAGAGTACAGCTACTGGAACATGCACTGAAACTGAAGCACATGAATACCTGGGAGTGTGTTGAGTCAGTGACCCTACACTACCCTGTGAACTGAAGTAGTCAGCAGGACCTCTATACAAAGCTAGGCTCCAGAGGCTTTAGAAGGGGTAAAGGGAAGGGCACAGGAGCTCAAACTCTGATGGAGGGATTGCCCTCCCACAACTTTAAAGCCCAGCCAACTAGCCCTTCTAAGTGGCAGTGCTGCCAGACTCCTGTTCTGTGTGGCCACTTGTATGCAGGAATTTGGGTCTGCCACCTACAGGAAAGGAACATGCATCCTTTGCCCATGTCTGTGACCTCTCTGTCAGCCAGCATCATCTGTATAACAAGAGGCATACCATACCTAAAATAGGCAAAGACATCTCTTAAAGGACAAAAAAGCTCTGGAGAAGGGGAAGAGGATTTCAGCTTTTCAGCCTTCCACCTTGTTTTAATATTTAGCCACTGATTTTGTAGTATAAAAAGGCCAAATGATGG